ACAACATTGAAGTCACCCCAGCCAAAGAATGGGTAGCGAAGACGCTTTGACACCCGGCTGGCGAGAGTGTCGATTTTATTTTTATTTTTTACTTTTTGTTTTCGCTTTCTATATTACTGTGCCAACTACGGAGTACTGAAGACGTCCGAGACGCCTCGCCACAGCATGCAGCACCACCGGAGTACCAGTGACGAAGTCAAAGGGGTCATGGCGAGGGCCGCATATTCTTTCTCATGTCCTGGGACGACTTTGCCACCTTTTGATTTGCCTCTGCAAGAGTTTAATATTCCATGTCCTCCGGGCGGCCGGACGGACTCGGGTACGCACTACGCACATGCAATTACGCTATTTGCGTGTATTTTATGAAGGTCGGCTGCCACGTTCAAAGACCCCGGGGTCGCCTGATGTGATGCAGGCGAACGGAGCTATGGAGCGGTACGAGATGACCTTGCCAAAGAACGACCAGAACGACCAAGGTTGCCAGGCAAAGGCCAGGCAGGCATCGAGTGTGTGGTGCATGCTGTTCACCACGTTCCCCGTAGTGTTGCATATTCCTGTCTGATCTCTTGGCCTCGTTGCCTGGCAGTTTCCTCCTTTGTGCTAGGCATTGCTGGATTGCTGGTGTCTAGCGTCTACGGAGGTGCTCCAAAAGAAGCACTCGAACCCACACCAAATACCACACTTTCAGACACAAGGCACACAAATCCGCGGGAAACGATGCCATGCCCCCACGCCATTTGTTCTGATGGGCTCGTCGCTGCACTTCCTTGCCGGCCAGGCCATATTTATTGTTCGAGAACGAGCCGTCTGAGGCAAAGTTTATCAAAAATTCTTCGAGTCCATCATTAGCGTGGGAACCGCGGAGCTAAGTGCAGAGCTTCACATTAATTCTTTTTTTTTTCGGGCTAACCCTTTCTTTAGTCAGCTCATGCCAGAATCATGTTCACTACTAGATCATGCCCAAGCGGTAACCTTTTTTATTTTTTTGAACGGGACAGATGGGTGTAGTAGCCGATGAGTCGAATTCCTCTTTCCAGCAGCCAGTGTTTCGTGGGTGTCGGACGTCTGGCGGGCGATGTACCGATGACTCGACCCTATTATTACTCCATACATCTGAAATTGTAGGAGTCCTCCAAGCTAGCTCATCGCGTGTGGCAGTGTTGGATAACACCAGCACGAATGTAGGGCCACCCCCAATGATCCCTAAATGGACTTGGTGGTGACGTATGCCCAGCAATAAACGGCATGGGACATAGTGAATCACTCTTGTACTCCGTACTCGGTATGGAGAACCACACCCATGGACCATCAGACTCCCGCAGCGTGTTCTTCCTGGCCGCCGTGAGGGACAAGAGCAAAAGGCCACAACTGCGGATTTCATGCCAGAGCTACGGGGTAGATAGATGGGTACGCCTCCCACGCCTAATGCAACTCACAGCACTTGATACTGTACCGTGCTCTCTTGTAATGAGAAGTCACTGGGCCGGCGACAGAGGCCTTTACTACGTAATTGCTATTTACCCTCGGATAAACGATGCGGCCTGCACGTTCCACCACATGATGGTGCCAAAGATGGCAGCGCGGTAGAAGAGGGGAGACAAGGTTGGAGCCAGGCAATGTGCACCGCCATCAATCTTGAAGCACGGGAAACGGGGAGAGAAATGCCTCAGATCCACCAGACGATATCCTGGAGAAGATATTGGCTCCCGACGGACCCTTGGCGGCTCCAAGGACGAATGTCGGGGTTCAAGGGCATGGCTGTAGGAGTGATTTGGTGCCTTTGCCAGACACTGGTTGAATGCTGTCTGTAGACCCAGTTGCCCCCGAGGATGACGGCTCGACGAATTGAAGACTGTAAGAAGGACGCGTATCGAATATGCCTACTAGTTACCAAGGTGGTAGACGACAATGTGAAATTGTGGAATGCGGTGCCTTGGCCTGGGCACGATTATTTACTCGGTACTGCTTAGGTCTGGTCCATGCCTGCACAAGAATGAATTCGTGGCACTAGCGGGCCCGAATCTCAATCTGTCCAGGGTTCAGCAACGCCGACTCTTCAACCAAGCAAGATGATGTTAAATTAGAGATTCGCGGAGGGCAACAACCCCTTTCCCATCCATGGCAGACGTGCCCGTGTCAAGAGGGCGTTTACGCAGGCTTGTGGAAACCAGCCAGGATGTAAGCCGAGGCCCTTTTCTTCACAGGAGTTAATTACCGTACGGAGTACAGTATATATGTACGTGAGTGGCAGAAGAGCATGATCCATGGCAGTCACTTGACACATGAAAATAGGTTTGACGCTTTCCTTTATTGGGGACAATGAATAAATGAATGGATGAATGAATGCTCCGGTAATTCGTTGTCCCAATCCCCTGCGCCGTTTGTAGGTAGGTGCAGGCAGTGTCAGCACGCCGCTAAAGGAGCAGAAGAGGTCAGGTGGCTTCGTTTACGGAACACGGAGCACGCAGACGGCAGAAACGGCGAGGAATGCCAAAGCCGCATTCTCCGACGCAAAAACATTGACGATTGTGCCCTATTGCACATTGTATTGTCGAGTGCATTTTTGGCTCAAACCCGACAACTTGGGCATTTTGCAATTGTCCATGTGCTCATTGTCGTCAATCCCCGTCCAGACGTTGACACTGACGGCGTGTGCACAACAAATCCGTCACGGATTTATCCAGGAGGCAGCCAATCAGCGCTGCGTACATGGACCGGGGGTGGGGGGTGGGTGTTTACGAAGCACCCACGGCACTGGGACCGTGAACCCATTCTTGACGACGAGACACGCGAGCGTCACATTGGCGACTGCGATGGTCCTTGCAGGGCGGCAGGGTTCGGCCACGCGTCTCAATATTTCTCAATTAAAAATAATGATTCCTGGCATCATTAATCACCCATCATGTTGCGGACGCGGAGGACGAGATGATGACCTACGGGGGACCTACGGGGGCGTGTGTGTTGGCACAAGATTGCCATTCTGGAAATCAGGGTCACGATCCACACTTGATGAAGATCAGTCGTCGACCTTTTTACGGCGCGTTCCAGTCTCCGAACTTCAGGGTCTTTCTGCCCGCTCGACCCGTTGCCTCGCTTTTGATTGTTTGTTTGTGCGTGTGGGTTGCGTGTGCATTGGTTGGCCAGCTCCGAGGACAAGGAGGCCAAAAATACCCCGAGAAGAAGCTGCACGCGGTGGCCAACGACGGGCAAGCCAGCCAGACTCGGCCTGTCGTGTCGCCCTGGGTCCCGGGTGGGCCAAGGGTTGAAAGGTCACGGGCAGTCAAGCTAGCAGCAAACCGCTAGCAAGACGTTGGCAATGCGCCGTCTCGAAGCCGCCGTGGTTCTGCAGGTCCTCTTCGGGATGCCATGTTTGTGCGGGGGAAAATTGGGAAACGGCGACGCCCTTCTTCTCTGCTCGAGTGCTCACCGCAAGATTTCTCAGATTCTCCTGGTTGCCGGTCATGGGCGATTGCCGAGGATAACATTTTTATATTTGGTAACGCTAGAGATCTCCAACGGGGGCAAAGGGGACAGAATCACCGGCTGGTCATGGAGCTTGACCGAGGCTGACTAACGGGTCCACTCTGCAAGAACCAACAAGCCGTGCCGTCTGGCTGACGATTTGACGACTCGATTGGCGGCGCCTCGACTCGCAGCGACACCTGCGTCGTGCTGCCTCGAGGGGGGCGAGCATGCCCTCACGGCCGAGTTCATCGTGAGGGGCGGCGGCGGCGTGCAACCTGACACGCACAGATTGTGAGGGAACAAGCTGTCCCGGCCTTGCCCAGCCGACAGCTTCACTGTCACGGAGCACCGACAACGGGGGGTGCATTGTGACGGTAAAGAGGCGGGGAGCTCTTTGCCGTGACGAAAGAAACAAGTTTGGCGGCTGGAGGGGCGTACACACGGCACAAGAGGCCTCTCTGTTGCAAGCCGTGTACTATTCCGTGCCCTGTGTCGGTAGTTGCCACAGCGTACATGCTCGCATCAACCTCCACGGCGGATATGTTTCCCTCGATGCAGAGTACATGATGCGTAGATGACTGGGTTTCTGCATCATCAGTAGCAGGGTGGCGTCGACACTCTCACCTCTCCACCGGTTGTTGCACCGTCCCACGAGCTCTTCCCAGAGCTCTCCAAGGGCACCAACTCGGCTGTCGTCTCCGTTCTTTTGTGCAACGAGATTGACCCTTTCTGGCCATGCCCGTGCTGCCCCCATGAACGATTCTCCCCCCTCCACACACGAAAAGAAAAATCGAAGCCAAAAAACAAACGCCCGTTTTGTCTTCGTTTTTGTTCTGCAGGGTAGCAGGCGGTAAAGTCCGTCTTTAGCCTTTCCAAGAAGGGAACCACAAGGGACAAAAGATGCATGGAGCCTTGGCTGTATTGTGCCGGATGCTCCTCGGCGGTGCGGGGGTTGCATGACGATGATGAAGAAGGGCGTGGGGGGAAACGACGGTCTTTTTTTTTTTTTTTTTTTTTTTCCGCCATTCTAATTCACATATTTCTTTCCCTCTTTTGAGCCGGTCCGGAAGACCGCGGGGACATGGCATGGGAGAGCGTGGGGGGATGTTGGAAAATGGCTCGTTGGGTTGTGCATGACCGACTGCATGAGTGGGGAGGATTGGGCTGCTTTTCTGGGTTTGACAGTCGTTGAAAAGGGCCCCGGGGGAATCTTGGTCGATGAGCCGATTGTAGGTGGGATTGTGGCGTGGTGAGTCTTTTTTTCCCCCTTGGGATTGATAGAGCCATGGCGGCGATGGGTGTAGGTTATGTGTTGGGCGAGCAAGACGATGATGGTCTGAAGTCTTTTTACATCTTCACATCTTCTTGTCCACAGCCGTAAATACTCCAAGCACTTGCACAAATTACTACGAGACTAGACTACAATCAACCGCAGAGTTGAAACCTGACTTGTACACCTCTCCCCAGATGGCGTCTGTGGATAAAGATTGGCTGCAAAACTAGAGGCTCTGCTTTTGCTCACTCCTTCACTTCACCTAGTCGTCTTCGTTGACGCACTCCTCCTGCTCGGGTTCAGCACGAGCGTTGAGCCCAGCGGCCGCTTCCTCTGCCTCTTCTTCCTTTTCAAAGTCCTCGAGGCCATTGGTCTTGGGGGCCTGCTCGGCCTTTGTCCTTGCCTCTTCTTCCTCCTCCTCCTTTTCAAAGTCCTCGAGGCCATTGGTCTTGGTGGCCCGCTTGGCGTTTGTCCTTTCTTCCTCCTCCTCCTCTTCCTTTTCAAAGTCTTGAAGCTCGCGCGTGCTGATACCAGCTGCGGCATCCTCCTCCTCCTCTTCCTTTTCAAAGTCCTGAAGCTCGCGCGTACTGATACCAGCTGCAGCATCCTCCTCCTCCTCCTCCTTTTCAAAGTCTTGAAGCTCACGGGTGCCGAGTCCGGCGGCGGCATCCTCTGCCTCTTCCTCCTTTTCGAAATCCTGGAGCGCCCGGAGCCTAACAGCTCTCTTGGCAGCAGTCCGAGCAGCCTCCTCCTCCTCCTCCTCCTCCTTCCTCTCAAAGTCCTGAAGGGGCTCATCAGCGGCCCGGGCACCGAGCGGCTTACCCGCGCCCGCCATGTCAAGAGGAACGTTGATGGCATCACCAGCCATGGTGCTTGCCGTGTCGACGGCTCCCTGGGCGGCGCCGGCAAAGGCGTCTGTGATGCTCGCCCGGGCAGCCACGCCACCAATGCTGGATTTGCCTGCATCTTGGAGGTTGTGAGTTGTTTACCCTGACAATGCAGCAGGTAGGTTCAACGTACCGCGGCGAAGAGTGCCGGCTGGGGCGGCTGAGACCGAGGTCACGGCCAGGAGAATAACAGAAAGGGACTTCATGGTGACTGCGTGTAAAAGAAGTAATATATAGGGAAAAGGGAGACGTGGTAGGTGGTATAAAAGAGTTGTTACAGAGGACCGGCCCAAGGAAGAAAGAGTTGGATCAAGCAGAGCCCATCGATGCAGCGGAATAACAGTGTCTTATATGCCTGAGCTGCTCGGTGTTCCAACGACGTCTTTGAATCTGAGACGACTCGTCGGGGCCAGGAAACAGCTTGCCCGTGATGACATGTCGCGAGGCCTGAAGCCTAGCATACTCGGGTTTTCCAGCTCGGAGCGTTCCATAGTCGGGCCCTTGAAACGCTGACGTGACCATGGCGATTGGTGCGGCCGTAGAGAGGGTTCGCTGCAGCAGCCATTCTCAAACCGCGGATTTCTGCTCCATGTTTTGAAATGCAGTTGGACAGCCATGCTCGGGAGGGTCTTCCGTGGTGGCTTTGCACAAAGATGAAGACGGATGGTCCGGCGGGAGATGCATGTTTCGCTGCGGGAGGCGGGCTGAGCGTGCGCTCAAACGGATCGTGTGAGAGAAGTGGTTCGTCAAAGATCCGGGGTTGCTGTGGATAGTCGGCGATTTGCCGTGCATGAAGATGACGACGATGACGTGAAGGTTGATTGAGGTGGGAGCTTGCTCAACCTGCGGCTTCTGATTTACACAGCGCGGTAAGCTATTAATGCGAGATATAAAAAAAAAAAGAAGGAAAAAGAAGGAAAAAGAAGGAAAAAGAAGGAAAAAGGATAATTCATGTGTAAACATTCACTCATCATCATCATCCCGGCAGAGCCACAAGAGGAGAGTCTGGATCGTCGCGGGGGTCAGTGCGCAAGGGCGTTTCGGACATTATTCGACGACGCCGCTCTCTCTGCCCTCCTCCGCAACAGCCTCCTCACAAGCCAAGAAGAGCGAGGCCAAGTTTCCCGCCGTGAGCGTAATGTTGAGCATGGGCATGGACGTCTCGTGTCACTTGGCTTCACCACCATGGCAGAATATCGCTGCATCGATCCAACCTGTTTGCCCACTACCAAGGTATACGCTACTTTACATCGCCGTAGTATCTCATAGTACATCATGTAAAATGGCCCCGTGCCGCCCACAAGTTGCCTTCAACTCTTCTCCCTGCGCGCAAGGATACCAATGTACGCCTCCGTGTCAAAGCTCCAATTCAAGTCGAATGAGTCGCCGACATGGGGTATCTCCTCTCCCAGAAACTGGTACCAGTCCCCCAGACTTTGGTTGATGTGATCGATGAAGTAGGACGACTCCCTGACACACCACTGGGGCGTCTCGACGTACTCGGCGTCCATGTCGTAAAAGACCTGGCCGTGTGCGTGCTCGAGCGGCTTGTTCGGCGCGGGGACGTCGCCGTCAATCAGCCAGATAAAGAAGCCGACCTCCGCAAGCACGGCCCGTAATATCAGGCGAGCGACGAAGCCGCGGGGGCTAGCCTCGCCCAAAAGCTCATCGGGGCCCTTGGGCCAGTCGGTGTTCCAGCTCGAGTCGAATTCCAGGGCAAAGTGCTGGACGGAGGTGGGCTGCGTGTGCTCATCGCGGTCGAGCCTCCAACGCCCGCAGACTGGGCTCTGCAAGACCTGGAGGACCGAGGGATGCGGCAGAAGAAAGTCCATGCCCCAGCCCTGGACGTGGAAGCAAAAGAGGTCTCGCTGCGGCTGGACCACGAGGTTCCACGCCTGGTTGCCTTGTCGTACCTTTGCGAACGAGGGATGGCGGCACCCAATCCTTTCCCGGCGGAGGAGTGAGTAGTGTTCCGTCCTGTGCTGGTAGTCTGACTCGGAGCGCCTCGTTATGACGTCTCTTGATTCTCGGCAAGCTGTCCAGAGGCCGGCATCCCAGTAGTACACTGAGCCTTTGCCGGGCGTGGCTGACGAGTTGCTCTGTAGGCGGCCTATGTTCAAGGCAATATCCCTTTTGGCCGGGTCGATGCCCCCAGCCCAGTCGTCCACGCCGACAAACAGTTTCGGGTCAATGCCGTCTTTGTTTCCCTCCAGGTCGATGAAGAAATGATGCAGACCGCCGGCATGCTGGGGTCGAAGCGCAAGCTCCCAGATCCGAAGCCGCAGCTCGCATGGAAGTCGAGGGAAGGCGTGGAAAGTTGATGAAGCCATTTTGTTAGCAGCTCTCGAATGAGACTTGTGATGACAACCAAAGACAGAATGGAAAGATAAAATCATCAGGACAGGACAGAGCAGGACAGGCTGTGTATAAGAAGTAAATCTTTGTCCAAATCTTACTTGTTCAATGTTGCTACTTTTTAGTTTCGACTCTTTGTAAATAGAGCCAAAGACAACCTCGAGCAACTAACAAACTTATCCATCTAGTTATCGCAGTAATTGCGTTTAGGGGCGCAGCCCTAGTGTCGACCATCGAGACATGATGTACGGCGCATCTGTTTTTGTCTTTGACGGTGTGGTGTATGCATGTACTTGCAAAGATGAGCCGTCTCAGTTCTAATGACCTTAGCCGCGCCACAGGGAGCCCATCTGTTGGTTCTTGAGCAAAATAGCCTTGGCCTTTTGCTGACTGTGCAACCTAAATATGCACAAGTTCTCAAGACCAAACGGACTTGTAAAGAAAGAAAAAACTCAAAAAGGGGTTTGGGTTACGTAGCACATGGCCCATCACTTCCCGAGGCGGGTGCTAATGAACCACCACATAATATAAGCTTAGTATAACCTTGGCCCCTATCAGAAAGTCCATGTTGCGCCTGAGCTTCTCAAATTCCACTCTCACAAGTGACCCCCCGCACAAGGAGCGTATTTCCTAGAGGTCAAGGTGAGCGAGTTGATGAGCGTCGGAAGAGAAAAAAATGAGCGTCGGAAGAGAAAAAACAGGACCAAAGTAGTGAGTAAAGGAGGTGAGGGACGGGAGTTGGAGTTTCGGCTCGTCAATTGTGATGCTGGCGATGAGCTGCCAGGTTGGACCACACAAGACCATCATGTTGGTGTTTGCCATGTATAAACCATTGCAGCAGTTGAGCCATCGACTGGACAAGGACACATTGACGGATGTTTAGACTCAGACGAGAACAGTTCCTATTGCAGGCTACTATTAGACTTGGTCTGCAGCTTCCATACGCCCAACGCCCCCCTCCTTGACTCAAAACTCCTATTATACAATGCAAACACAGTCATTTCCATTCCATACCATCCATGCGCTCATCACATCAAAAGACTCCCCTAAAGTGCACGCCGCCCTACGACATGCTGTACGGTACTATCGCTTTATCAATGATGGGGTCCCGGCGCGACATCTTCTCCTTCTCCGTGCCCCAGCGCGACTGGAACTCGACCTCTGCCTCCAGCGCCTCATCAAACGCCTTTCGACACTCAGCCGGCAACAGATCCTTGATCTCGTCTGACACTGACACCAGCCCGTTGAACGAGGCGACAAATTCCGCCGGCGTCTCGTTGCTTGGTCGGACAGAAGCGCCGTTTCGCGGCGCACCCTCGCAGTATGTGTCCATGACGAGGAAATTCCTGGCCATTCTGAGCGGCACCGGTGGGAACTTGGCGCTCCCTTTGCTGGCTGCCTCTTCGTCGGGACTCACTTGCTCGATTCGCACACGGGTGGGCTGCATCGTGGCTGGGTATTGTATCATGTTGGTGTGAATGTCGTAGACGCCGGCATTGTTGAACTTGCGAATCGCATTGATTCCAGCGTTGAATATGCTGCATCATGTCAGCAGTCTTTTCAAAGTCACAAGGGCAGTCAGCTTCACATACCTAGCTTCTCGTGCATGTTCCAGCATCCAATTCTGGTCATTGACGTTGACCTTGCGTTTCTTGTATTCCGGCTTCCCATTCGGTACAGGCACAGACGGCACATTGGTATGATAGACAGCACTGGCCCCGTGCCAGGCAACGTACTGATTCTTGTTGTACTCGCCGGGGACAAAGTGGTCATCGGGGTCAGCAAGCTGGCCCTCAACAGCACCTTCTTCCCGCAGCTGAGCAACATTGTAATCGTCAATGATGCGCTTGCCGCCAATAATGATTCTGGCGCCAAACTCCCTAAAGACTGACCGGGCCGTAACAACACCTATGGATCGGCCCTTGTAAGAATGTGGGATAATGTCTCGCTCAATCATGTCTCGCTTCTCGTCGTCGTCGACAATGATCTTGTGTAGCTTTCGGTGCTTCGTGAAGAACAGGTAGCTGTCTCGGAAACCAACACAACGAGCAGGCTCCGTGGACAACATGTAAAGTCGATTTCCACGTCCCAGGACGGTAAAGGTACGACAGCGATAGTCGCGACCGCCTTCTAGGTTTCCCAGCTTGTCGACCTTGGTCTCGCCCTCAGGATCCTCGGGTAGCACACACTCGTCATTGACAATCTCGGCCACGGTACCTTCGGCGTCAATAACCTGTTCGGCCTTTGGCGCTGCTGGTCCTCCCTTGCGACCACCTCGACCTCTCCACCCCCCGCGACCACGACGTCGCGGCGTATCCTCCGTCACGGTGATCATGGGATCCCAATCCGGGGGCTTGTTCTTCGGCGGTCGACCCAGCCGCTTTCTTCGAATCACAGGCTGAGGCGGCGGACTGGGTTCCTTGGCCTCGTCGCCCTCCTCCTCTCCTTCTCTAGCAGCTGCTTCTTGGTGATCAGACGCGACCTTGGTTTCCTCCTGGTCGTCGTCGTCGTCGTCCTGCGCAGGCGGCTCCTCGTGCTCAGAGCCTTCGTCAGCCGCAGCCGCATCAACCATGGGCTCGTCCTCGGTCTCGGCAAAACCCTTGGGCGTGCTCTCTGCAGTGTTTGAACTACGCGTTAGTCTTAAGCGGATCCTGGTTCTGGGTGCCATGATTATGTTGGCGAGTCTCTGTGCCAGTCAAGGACACGAGATGAGAGGCCAACGGTGGGAGGGGAAGGCAAAGGGAAACGAAGTCGGGTAGGCATTAAACAAAAAAAAGCGCACAGAGCACAAGGCAAGTATAAAGCGCGCGATCAGTGCGCTTCCCTGGCACAAAGACAATGCTGTGCGCGCTCGTGGGTGATGTTGCTTGCGCTCAATGTAGGGAAAAAAGATGGAGAAAAGGCCGAGAGAGAAAAGTGCATACCCAGCGCCGCCGATGCTTTCCTAGCTGCAGCGCGACTAGACCGTCGCCCCATCTTGCCAGTTCACAGCCCGATATCTCGTAGTCTTGGTCCGCTCGTAGGTGTAGAACGGGATACGCGCGCCAAAAGAGGGTCCCTCCAGCAGAGTCAACTGTAGAAGTTGATGATGAGACCTGGTTTGGATACAAAGACGGGTTGACGCTCTGCCCATGATCCAAGAGTCGATTTGGGACACACGGCACGGTTGGGACTTGGAACGCGCCTTGTCGGATCGCGTGCTTTTGATTGGCCTCTTGACGAGCCTCACCGGAGTGTGTGGATGAAGGCGCACTGTACCAATAGCACCGTGTCCCCTTCCCGTTTTGGCGCCTTTCTCGTTTCTTACAAGTTATCCTCTCAATAATAACAGCCTCACATTACCATGTCGCCATGGTTCAAGCAGCGGGAAATCATACACACTCGTAGCGCATGCACACATACATTCATACAGCCCACCCAGTGCAGCTGCCATATTAACTTGCCTAGCGACTCAAAACATTGCACCTAGTAGTACAGAGGCAGGCACCCAAGCACTCTAGACCCATGCTCTGTGTTCTAACAAGTCACAGACAAAAGCTCTCATCACCCCCCCTGTCCAATAAACTGTCGTACAGCTATATAGAAAAAAAAAAACACAACTCGAAACTCCGATCGACTTTCCAGAATCCCATCATTCATCTATGAAGCAGTGCATCCCTTCTCCCTCGTTACAAAGTATCCCAACCTCCATTATTGATCTCGGCCTCCAGTTTGCGGCTAATCAGGCTTGGCACGCCGTGGTTCAGTACTGTATTCCGTATCATGGAGTCATATCTCTTTTGGTTCAAGAAGAGCTGTCGGCCGTGACGAAGCTGAGGATCCGTCTCGCCGTATTTATCGATATAAGGTGCCGGGGCGTAAGACCCAGACTGTCGAAAAAGGTATACGATTGAGCATTTTCGTACATTCAAGTATACTCCGATATTCTTTTGGCACCTTCATTTTCAACTGTTAGCCTACCGCACGTATCACGGCTGTCAAATAGGTAGGTCGTAAGCTTACTTGCGCATATGCTGTTGAGCACCCCCAATTCTCGTGAACTCCCGACCGACAGTCTCCGGCTTCTGGCAGCAGTTGCTCTGACTGCAAAAGATTTCACCACAGAACAGGCAAATAACTGGATCTGTGAGGTCTTTACCGGTAGATGGACACCTTCTCCTGATTGACTCTTCAATTAGTGTGTCGTAAGTCTTCGGGAGACCAATCAGTTCGAAAATGCCTGGATGGCTGACCAGGGCGGATTCGCTCATGTCTCCATAACCATTTGGCCAAACAACCTGGTGCTTGATCCAGCCCGAAACCAGGTCGTACGTTGTCATCGGCCAACCACATGCAAAAGCGTTTTCCGTCATAGAGGCACACATCTCATCAAAACTGGGTAGACGAAGAGCAACTGTGAGGCGATCAAGCTCGTCCGAATCTGCATCCTGGCTTGACGAAACATGGCTGTTGAAGTCGACACCGTACTTGACGCACAAGAACACCACGCTTTTCCGCAAAAAGGTCAACGCATACTTCTTCGCAAAAGTGTACCAGCTTTCCAATGTATCCACGCCTGGCTGTTGGAAACCCTTATTCTCCCTCTCCTCCTCATTGTCGCTGGTCTTGCCAAAGTTGGCCACCTCAAGTTCCATTCCGCATTTGGTGATTGCAAGCGCAAAGCTGGCAAAGTTGACCATGGCCGGATCCTGTGATTGCTTGCCAGCAAGACCCTCTATCCACATGCTGAATGGAATGTTGCGCCCCATGTGAAACACAACCTTGACAAGTTCAGCCAGATAACATAGCCTGAGTATATGGGAAATTTCGGCGTTGTAGGCCGGTACAAGGCCATATGCGCATTCAACCAGGAAGGTGAATGGATCAAGGCTCAGCAAAGGTGGATAAGCGTCCAAAGGTCGAAGCACAGAACTAGCCGCTGGCAAGTCCTGGGTTCCAACATATCGACACATGAATAGCTGGCAGTGTTGTCTCTCACTGTCATTGGTGAATTCATCTTCAATACGATTGGGAACCCCGTCCGTGTGGCCTGCTCCAACAGCTATGTAGGACGAAGCAGTCTCCGAAAGAACTCGTAAGTGGACGAGTACTTGTTCCGGGATTTTATCCAATAACGTCAAGCCTGGTTGGACTTCGACGCCACGTTGCTGGATTTCCACAGATGATATGGTGAAGCCGACGACTTGAACAAGAGTGTCGCTCGAGTAAAGCTCATCTCCTCCGGTAGCCTTGGCATCGATAGGGTGCCGAGTGTGCAGCCCATTCACTCGTAGAGTATCTCGAAGGCGCCGATATGCTGCCTTCAAGTCTCCCAAAATTTGACTGTTGGAGCCAGCAGCCGCTAGAGAGTTACCTGGCTCTGGTATGCCAGCAGTAGAGAATGAGGAGCTTGCCGGTGTTCCAAGCACAGAGGACTGCGAGTCGGGGTCATCCCTCCCCCAAGAAATCTCTGCATCCGGGTGCTGGTTCGTCAGAGTTTCAACCAGACTGCCTGGTACACTTGGCGTGTACATGTTCGGTGGGCTAGCTGAGTCGACTTCGGGGGCCTTACCCCCTTGCAGCCAATATGCCGAGCCCATCTTCAGGTCAAGGAATTCTCCAAAGGATTTTGAAGGTTGCAAGTAGCTCGGGTACGATTCTTCCAACCCTTTCCATATGATAGGAAGAAATGCGTTGCCAAGAGCTTTACATAACGGGCACACAAATTCATTGCGCCTCGTGTCCTCGGGATGATGTCTTGCAATTTGATGCGTATGTCGGCGATTCGTTGCCTCGTAATACATTTCAAAGCACCGGTAATGCATCATATGCCCACATCCGCTGGCAACCGGGCCCGGTCTGGACAGATTGGCCTTGAATCCCTTGCCAATGGTTTGGCGTTCAGCCAAAAACGTCTCCCCATTTATATCGAGCTTCTCAACCATTTTTCGATTCTCATGCGCGATTCCAAACGGCCGAATGTCTTCAGCAGATCGATCGAGGTTGCAAGGTGTTTGTGAAGCTTCTCTTACCAACTCAGGGTCCTGAAAGTCGGTTTGGCGGAGCACGCGGCTTTCATTGAGAAGGGCAAACGTGCCATAAAGCCTTCTATCATCTGCATCCTCCTGGCACAAGATACAAGTCCCTGTTGGATACTTCCAGTTATGCTTTCGGTCCTCGGATTGTCCCATTTCGTCCTCGTCTTCATCCAAATCAGAGCCCCAATCAATGCCACCTTGGTTCTCTAGAAAGCTTTTCTGCTGTTGCTGGAACTGTGCCATGACCTTGGCCTGACGGCTCAAGGCAGCCTTTTTCCGCCTTTCCCGCTCCTCTTCAACAGAGTTGTTGGCTGGAGAGGCGGTGTCAACACGGTCAACCGAGATGCCAAGATTCACAAACGAAATCTCGAATGCCTGCGGCCGCTTTTGCCTCAGTCGCCTCAAGACTAGAGCAATTTTGGGATGAACTGCTTTGAATTCGTCCTTGTTTGACATCAGAGTCAATAATGAAACAATGGTTCGGGAATTGTTCGCTTCTGGCATGAAATTACTGCGAGCCATGGTGGTGAGAGCAATTTGGACAAATGAATTTGGCGGCTGTCCAACTGATTCCGATTCATTGGACTTGTCCTCGAGAATGGCAATGAGAATCAGATGGAGAACGACTTGCAAGAACGTCTCTAACCGAGTAAACGGCACAGAAGGCGTAAACTTTTGGGCAACAAGAGGATACAAGAGCGAGTAGTAAATAATTTGGGCAAACATGCCAGTGCTGGTGAATTGCCCCAGGTTTTCAAACAAGCCCGATGGCACAGGCCGGTGCTTGGGTTCATAAACAATCTCTTCAATTGTCTTGCCAGTCTTCTTGGCCATCTTCTTTCGATATGCCATCTCTGACTCCTCCCGCTGATTCTTGTTGTAGTGTGCAATATAGGGATCAATATCTTCGATGAATTCCTGGCGTAATTCGAAAGTGCCTACGTCAGAGATGCCTTCGGGGGGTTTGAAAGTCGCCATTTCGTCCAAGACGCGATGGAAGTCCTCTTGTTCTTGATACTTCTCGGGCAATTTGCTACATATCTCGTTGAAGGATAACGGTTTGAAGCACAAAACATGCGTGATATCTCGTCGCATGGCAAGAATTCTTGAGTTTGGCTCGTCATCAGGAGCAACAAGGGAAGTCCGGTCGCTCAAGAGGACAATGAGAAGATGAATCATGTCCTCAACAATGTCAAGATGTTGCGCATCATCCTGAGCTTCAGACTTGAGCTCAAACAAGCCCTTCACCCAGCTATCCATACCAAATCGATCAATGATGGATGCAAGTACGCGGCTTGGATTGCACACAACCATTGCCGTCTGAAGGAGAAAAATGTCTCGATGGTGCGTTACATCCCTCTGCCCTACACCTCGGTATGTGCTAGCTTGGTGCCTCAAACTTATGCCATTTCGAACCCACATATTGGCTTTAATCTGCGCCAGCCAAGCACAAACTCGCAGAGGAAAATCAAAGGCAGCCATAAGGTAGTCCTCGGGGTCATAGTCCTTTCTTGGGATCTGTGGACGTCCCATCAATCTTGGCTTTGATCTCAGCTCTTGGCCAGTGAAGCTCATCAATGCTCGAATGCTGGATGCAGGAAGTGAGCGACCGCATTCAATGAGCCAGGACAAGGTGTAGTGCAAGGCATGG